TGGGCACACAGTGCGTGGATCTCTCTGGCCCACATCAATGCTCTCCAGAAAGTGAGTGGCAGCAACAGAAGCACTGAATAAGCAGATGGATAGGATGACTCATCCAGTGAATGCCAGTGAGCCTGAGCCACCTCAATCTTGCAAAAAGTTTCATGGATGAATGGATTAGTCATGGTAGCTTGACATGATGGGCTGCCTCTCGTCAAGGCTGATCTAGCTACTACTGCTGCTGAGTGCCTGACCATCAGCTGTACAGAGCAATGCTGCGCCCCCAATATGGTACAATCTCTCAAGGACATAAGCAGCCATTTGGTGTCAAGTTCATTATCTTAGATCTCTTCTACCCTGGAGGAGGCAACAATTCATCTTTACTAGAAAAGATACATATTCCAATTATGGGTTGGCCTTAAGTTGGCCAGCACCATTATCTGAAAGCCACAGATTGTCTGCTTCTGGGGCGACCAAACTTAAGGCAGTCAACAAATCAAAAAGTTGGTTCTTTGAAAAGTCTAATAAAATACACAAAATTCTGGCAATATTGGACCAGTAAAGGAGAAAGAACAAATAAACAATATTGCAAATTAAAAAGAAGACAAAACTATGGATGCTGATGAGATTTGAAAGGGCTAAGGTAAATAACTGGAGGAGAAGAAAGAACTCTTCCTTAAAGAGAATGCCAACCTGGGCTTCCCTGGTGGCGCAGTGGTTGAGAGTCCTCCTGCCAATGCAGGGGATGCGGGTTCGTGCCCCGGTCCAGGAAGATCCCGCATGCCGCGGAGCGGCTGGGCCCGTGAGGCATGGCCGCTGAGCCTGCACGTCCGGAGCCTGTGCTCCACAATGGGAGAGGCCAAAAAAGTGAGAGGCCCGCGTACCGCAAAAAAAAAAAAAAAAAAAAAAAAGAGAGAGAATGCCAACCAATAAATAAAGACACAGACCTACTAGAGAATGGACTTGAGGATACGGGCAGGGGGAAGGGTAAGCTGTGACAAAGCAAGAGAGTGGCATGGACATATACACACTACCAAACGTAAAATAGATAGCTAGTGGGAAGCAGCCGCATAGCACAGGGAGATCAGCTCGGTGCTTTGTGACTGCCTGGAGGGGTGGGATAGGGAGGGTGGGGGGGAGGGAGACGCAAGCAGGAAGAGATACGGTCACTTTGTTACAAAGCAGAAACTAACACACCATTGTAAAGCAATTATACTCCAATAAAGATGTTTAAAAAAAAAAGAAGGAATGAAGGTGCTAGAAAAAGTACTGTTTTGCAACCATCATCATAATGATTGATGCAGGCAAGAATCAATAATGGATGCTAAGACTCACGTGTGAGAGTTTGATAAGGAGTAGGACAGTTCCATCATTTCAAAGTACCTCCCTAAATTACTTATTTAATACAGAAAGTAACATAGTAACTTTACAGTGGAGAAAACTGCTGGACATCACCTTAACCAAGTGATCAAAGTTGACATAACAAATCGTCATCAACTGACTTGTGATGACGACTTACGCACTGAGAAGCAAACAATATTTTGTAGTGCTCCTACAAGGAAATGCATAACTCACATCTAACCATGAGGAACGTGAGACAAGTTCAACATGAGAGACTTCTACAGAACAACCATCCTGTCCTCTCCAAAATGTAAATGTCACAGAGGAGCAAGGAGGGACTTCCCTGGTGGTCCAGTGGATAAGGCTGTGTGCTCCCAATGCAGCGGGCCCGGGTTCCATCCCGGGTCAGGGAACTAGATCCCGCGTACGCAACTAAAAGCCCGCCTGCCGCAACTAAGACCTGACGCGGCCAAGTAAATAAATAAATATTTGAAATTTAAAAAAAAAAAGGACCAAGGAATCTCTGAGGAACTCTTCGAGATTGAAGGAAATCTAAGAGCAATGGCAAATACGTGTAACTTTGAATTGGGTCATGAACCAGAAAAAAATAACGCCAGGGAGGAAAAAGTATTTTCCTCTCTACCCTCCTAGGTTCTTGGCTAAGACCCTCTGTAGTAAGAGACAGATTAACAGGCAAAAACAGAAGTTTAATAACATGTGTACCTCCTGTATACATGGGAGACATCCAGGAAAACTGAGTAACTCCCCAGAGAAATGGCCCAAGCCACCACCTTAAATCTCTAGCTACAGACAAAAGAAGATATTGGGGCAGGGGAGGGGAGAGGCTACATATGGGGGGTGACCAGGAAAAAAGCACAGTAGACAAGAATAAAGTTGTTATACAGATTTGCATCGTTGCTTTCTCCATTGATAAGTTTCCTGAGATTTAGAGTCACCCTTCTCTTCCTGGTAAAGACAGGGAGATGCCCTTACAAATTGAGATTTCCCTTATCACTGTAAATGTCTCTTACAAAAGGGTAACTTCTACTTAGTTTTCAGAGCTTTCCTATGTCTGCTGTTTCTTAAAAATAATCAGCTTAAAATGATCTTTATGCCAAAAAGGTGTATTTGGGGGTGACAGACTCTGTACCCCTTCACTATAGAAAACATTATTGGGACAACTAGCATAAGTGGAATATGAACTGTATATTAGATAACGCCAGATTGTCTAACAGTTGGCTAAATATTAAATTTCCTGAATTCATTAAGTTCCCTGTAGTTATGTAAGAGAGTACCCTTATTCTTAGAAAATAAATACTGAAGTACTAACATACGAAGAGGCATGATTATCTGCAACTTAGTCTCAAATGATTCAGGAGAAAAAAAGAAAAAATAGAGAGAGAGTGTGTTAAAGAGAAAACCACAGGACTAAAATGGCATCACTTGTGCTAAAGCTCATGGTACCAAATCTAGATTTAATACCTGACCTAACTGTGGTTTTGACCTTCCCCAAGGATGTTGTCTTAATCCGCCAGTCTGGGATTTTTTCTGGTCAGCACCAATGAGGTAATCTGTCCTGTGTTACCCCTCTAGCCCTCCAAAGGAAGCAGAGGTAAAATGTATGATAGACCCTCGCCCTTCCCCACAAAGAAGGTGACCTGGCCTGAAACAATCCTCTGCTTTCTTTTGTTAATAGCCTCGTTGCCCCTCCCTCCTTCTACTTGTAAAAACCTTCTATTCTGTATAGCCCCTCAGAGTGCCCTTCTGTTTACTAGATAAGATGCTGCCCAATTCACGAACCATTGAATAAAGTCAATTAGATCTTCAAAATTACTCAGTTGAATTTTGTTTTTTAACACAGGGGTGGGGGGAATGATATAGCAAATATGGCAAAATATTAACAGTGGGAAAATCTAAGTAAAGAATATAGTTCTTTAGTATATTTCTTACAATGTTTCTGTAGGTTTGAACTTATTTCAAAATAAAAATTTTAACTTTAAGAATAAAGAAATAAGAAAGTATTGTGAACAATATTATACCAGTAAAATTTTAAATATAAATAAATGAATAAATTTCCAGAAAAATCTAACCTGATAAAACTGACTCAGCTGAAAATTTAAATAGATTTATAATCATTAAAGAAACTCAGGCAGTAGTTTAAAATTTTCTCCACAGTTAAACACCAGCCAGACTAGATGGATTTACAGGTGAGTTCCACCAAACTTTCAAGGAACAAATATTTCAAACTCCCATTTTTATTCTTTGAAGCTATTATAACCTTGACATCAAAAGCACACATTGATACAAAAGACCATGAATAGCCAAAGTAATCCTGAGAAAGAAAAACGGAGCTGGAGGAATCAGGCTCCCTGGCTTCAGACTATACTAGAAAGCTACAGTCATCAAAACAATATGGTACCGGCACAAAAACAGAAATCTAGATCAATGGAACAGGATAAAAAGTCCAGAGATAAACCCATGCACTTATGGTCACCTAATCTATGACAAAGGAGGCAAGAATATACAATGGAGAAAAGACAGCCTGTTCAATAAGTGGTGCTGGGAAAACTGGACAGCTACACGTAAAAGAATGAAATTAGAACACACCCTAACACCACACACAAAAATTAACTCAAAATAGATTAAAGACCTAAACGTAAGGCTGGATACTGTAAAACTTTTAGAGGAAAACATAGGAAGAACACTCTGTGACATAAATCACAGCAAGATCTTTTTCTATCCACCTCCTAGAATAATGAAAATAAAAGCAAAAGTAAACAAATAGGACCTAATTAAACTTAAAAGCTATTGCACAGCAAAGGAAACATAAACAAAATGAAAAGAAAACCCTCAGAATGGGAGAAAATATTTGCAAATGAAGCAACTGACAAGGGATTAATCTCCAAAATATACAAATAGCTCATACAGCTCAATATGAAAATAACAACCCAATCAAAAAATGGGTAGAAGAGCCGGAAGGGGTGGGGCCGCCGACCGAGGCCCCGGGAGGCCTGGGGACGCCAGTGGCATGGCGGAGGCCCGGCATGTGGGGCGCGGTGTGGGGCGCGGAAATGAGGCTTCGGCCCCAGGCTTGGCTCCAGGCTGTGAGCTGGCACAGCTGCCCTGCTCAATGGACGAGGCCACCAGGACCCAGGCCACCAGGAGCTCACTGTCCTCCGTTTTGGAAAGTCCTGGACCAGATGACCTAATGACAGGTTCTGCAGAAGTCAAACCATCTTCCTGTCCGAGGCAACAAGGGACGGAGGCTGCACAGGAGCCCTCGGCATCCCATCCACCGTCTGAGCGACGCTGGAACAGCCTCTGCTCCTCTCTGAGCCCCACGCACCCAGCTCCACTACAGGGTGAGCTAGGCGTGAGGACCACATTTCTCAAGTTTTCCCCCAGGAGGGCTGTCCCCCAGGAACGGGGTCTCAGAGCTTGTGCAGGTGCAGCCGCCCCGGAGGGTCCATGTTCCGAGGGAAAGTCCGCTGAGGCATTTTTATGCTTTCCTCCATCCCTTTCCTCCTAAGAGGCCCAGCCAGCGGAGATGTTCTGAACTGGGTGGATGTTACTGGAACCCCTGGGCTATGACACATGCTTCTTTAAAAGGATTTCCCCAAGAAGCTCCCTTTCAGGTGATCCCCCATCACGCCTGCAGTCTCTCTACCCACCTTGAGGACCAGGCTGAAGCAAGGCCCTGGGAGGGGAGAGACACGGTGGGTCTTCCGGTCCTGGAAAATGAGGCCTGTTTTTGTTTCCCCCGAGGTCAGTGGTGTCCTCCATCCTTAAGCTCCTGTCACAGTGTTGGAAAGAAAAACCGATCTGACAAACAACATTTACTACTAGGAAACCACACAGAGACTCAGGCCTCTGCTTTCCCTGTACTCACAGCCGAGTGTCTGGGTTTTCCTAAAAACCTCCCCCTACCTAGTTTCTCTGTGCATATATCACTGCATTTTGGACACTTGGCTGTTAAAGTTGTCTCCAAGCCTCTTTGGCATTGGATTAAAATATCTGCATAATTAAAAATAAGCCACCAAAAAAAAAAAAAAATGGGCAGAAGATCTAAATAGACATTTCTCCAAAGAAGACATACAGATGGTTAAAAAGCACATGAAAAGATGCTCAACATCCCTAATTATTAAAACTACAATGAGGTATCACCTCACACTGGTCAGAATGGCCATCATCAAAAAGTCTACAAACAATAAATGCTGGAGAGGGTGTGGAGGAAAGGGAACACTCTTGCACTGTTGGTGGGAATGCAAACTGGTACAGCCGCTATGGAGAACAGTATGGAGGTTCCTTAACAAGCTAAAAATAGAGCTACCGTATGATCCAGCAATCCCACTCCCAGGCATGTATCTGGAGGAAACCATAAGTGGAAAAGATACATGCACCCCAATGTTCACTGAAGCACTATTCACAATAGCCAGGACATGGAAGCAACCTAAATGTCCATCAACAGAAGAATGGATAAAGAAGATGTGGTACATATATACAATGGAATATTACTCAGCCATAAAAAGAACAAAATAATGCCATTTGCAGCAACATGGATGGACCTAGAGATTCTCATATAAATGAAGTCAGACAAAGACAAATATATGATATCACTTATGTGTGGAATCTAAAAAAAGGCTACAAATGAACTTATCTACAAAACCAAAATAGAGTTACAGATGTAGAAAATAAACATGGTTACTAGGGGGTAAGGGGGATGTAGGGATAAATTGGAAGATTGGGACTGACATATACACACTACTATATATAAAATATATAACTAATAAGGACCTACTGTATAGCACAGGGAACTCTACTTAATACTCTGTAATGGCCTATAAAGGAAAAGAATCTAAAAAAGAGTGGATATATGTATTTGTATAACAGATTCACTTTGCTGTATACCTGAAACTAACCAACATTGTAAATCAATTATATCCCAATTCAAATTTTTTTAAAAGCATACATTGATAAAATAATCAAGGTTAACATAGATAAAAAAATCATAAATAAAATATGGGCGAACTGAATCCAGCAACCCATGAAAAATATATTCATTACCAAGTTGAGTTTATCCTAGGAATTCAAAGTATGCTTAATGTTAGAAAAGGCATTAATGTACTCAATTAAATTAACACATTAAAGAAAAAATACAATTTACATATTCAAAACTGGATAAGCAATTCCTATATAATCAAGGATCTGGCTGGCCATTGTCTCCCATTCCTGGGAGTCAGTCTCTAAACCCTGAGAATTTCCTGAGTGCTAGGAATGTCTTTGTTATTCATGATGGCTCTTCAGACCACCCCAGAGCTTATGCTAACATGACTCATGGTGGGTAAGGGAGCAAACTTTGTTGCCCCAAAATATGTCTCTTGGGCATGAGGATTAATTTGGCTGATTGTTTTTAAAAAACAGAAGACTCAGGAAGTTTGTCTTGTCACCACCCTTTTAACTGCCTGAAGGAATTTGGATAAAGGGCCTGTTCCCGGAATAGAGCCATCGCCAGAAATATTTACAAAGAATATGGGCTAGCTGTGATGGGGGAGACCCAGCAACACCCAGAGATCAGGGTCCACTCTGTGTCCCATTGTCTCTGCATGGCCCAGCAAACATTTGTTTACCAAACGTTTGCTTTTCCATATGCATGTGAATTCCCTTTCTCCCCTTTGAGGTCCCAAACTACTACCCCTAACATCCTCTTTTGTCTTTAGCTGAAGATGGTATTTAAGGTGAGGGCTTTGGTGAGTTACTCTGTTTTCTTGGGTCTCTCTCAGGTATACCTGTTATTAAACTTTTGTTTGATTTTCTCCTGTTAATCCACCTCATTGTCCATTTAATTCTTATACAAGTCAGAAGAACCTAGAAGGGTAGACGAAAATGTTTTCCTCCCTGACAGTGGGCCACTAGGTAGTTTATCTAAGGAAATGACTCAGTATGGGGGCTGGCTACCCAGAAAGAACAACCATGTGATTAGAGGGTTGAGGCTTTGTACCAGGTGATAGCAACCAGATCTCCAGGGAGGGGGGACTAGAGATTGAATTCAATCGTATGGCTAATGATTCAATTAATCATGCCTACATAATGAAATCCCAATAAAAAACCAATAAAATGTATTGATACCTCGAGTGAGCTTCCCTGGTTGACAACACTCCATGCATATCAGTACACATCAGTGTGCTGGGAGGGTGACTTGTCCTGATGCCACAGGGAGAGGACACAGCAAGTTTCCCACTGGGGACGCTCCCAGACCTCACCCTACGCGTCTCTTCTTCTGACTGGTTCTGACTTGTATCCCTTTTGCGATAATAAAACTGTAATTGTAACTATAGAACTTTCCTGAGCTTTGTGAGTCACTAGCAAATAATCAAACCTGTTTGGGTCGTGAGAACCCCCATATCTATAGCCAGTTATTCAGAAGTGGGGGATCCCTGGAAACCCCCTAGCTTTGGCTGGTGTCTGAAGTGAGGCCAGTCTGTGGAGCACTGTGCTCTTAACCCATGAAGTCTGGCCTAACTCTTGTTGGTTAGTGTCAAAAGTCACTGCAGCAAAGGACAGATAAACCAAAACCTAATAATAAACGGTCATATAAAAAGGGAGGAAGAGAACAGATGGGCTGGGATAAGGTAGAAGCTAGAGTTCTCTGAATGTACTTTGTATTATGGTATTAAAAGGAAGAAAACAGGACTAAAATAGGGTTGCTTATGCTAAGCTCCATGTCACCAAACCAAGACTTAACTTAATTACGAGTTTGACTCTACCAGAAATAGCGTCTTAAACCAGTCAATCAGAAATTGCCTATTCAGCACTAGCTAGGTAATCTGCCTGACAGACCCCTGTCATCCCCTAAAGGAAAGTAACCCTGCAATAACCAACCCACTTTTCTGACTAGTGTAACTTCCTTGTTCCTGCTCCCTTCTGCCTATGAAAGTCTTTCATTTTGTACAGCTTCTTGGAGCTCCTTTCTATCTGCTAGATGGGATGCTGCCTGATTCATGAATCACTGAATAAAGCCTATAAGATCTTCAAAATTTACTCAGTTGGATTTTCTTTTTTAACAATGGTTTGACTTTGGAATCATATAAATATTTTGCATAAATAAAACACAAAATTGAATCAAAAAATAAAAAGCAACCCCTAAAAATTAAAACTAAAACAAACAAAATAATCTAATTCTTTGTCAGTCTGGTAGCATAACTACACAGAATTATTTCAAGTGACTTTATTTTATTTATTTACTTATTTTTATTGAAGTATAGTTGACTTACAATATCATGTAAGTTTCAGGTGTGATCCTTTCTTTTCTTCCTTTCTTTTTTTTTTTTTAATATTTATTTATTTGTCTGCGCCGGGTCTTAGTTGCTGCACTTGGGATCTTCGTTGCGGCAGGCAGGCTCTTAGCTGTGACGTGCATGTGGGATCTAGTTCCCGGAGCAGCGATGGAACCTGGGCCCCCTGCCTTGGGAATGCGGAGTCTTAACCACTGGACCCCCAGGGAAGTCCCTCAAGTGACTTTAAACACAGTATTTTGACTGTACACCCTAGTAGGATAGATCACAGGGTTAAAAAAAAAAAAAGATCAAAGCTGGATTCAAGGGTCTTGTTGTCTGTTGTAATATTGGTATGGTTATTCTGAAAAGAGTAGAATCAATAAATACACCCCTAACCCCAAGATTATGGTGTATAAATATTATTACCCTTTAAAAGGAACCAGGGCTCTTTGGACAAATTTTGCCACATCTGGGGAAGGAAATGTACAAAAAGGTCCTGGTACATCTTGTCGTAACAGAAATCAAGGAACATGTCAAAGGCTACTGGGGGCATCTCAGTAGTACACCGGAACAGCTTGAAGAAGCTCCTGCTGGCCAAAGATGGGAAAATTTAAGCATTGAAAATAATAATGAAGAATGAAATACTGCCATTTGCAGCAACATGGATGGACCTAGAGAACAGTATACTTAGTGAAGTCAGACAGAGAAAGACAAATATGATATCACTAATATGTGGAATCTAAAAACTAATACAAATGAATCTATCAATACATACAAAACAGACTCACAGACATAGAAAACAAACTTATGGTTACCAAGGGGGAAAATGATGAGGGGAGGGATAAATCAGGGGTTTGGGATTAACATATACACACCACTATACATAAAACAGATAAGCAACAAGGATTTACTGTATAGCACAGGGAATTATATTCAATATCTTATAATATTACCTACAATGGAAAATAATCTGAAAAAAATATGCATATGCATATGTATAACTGAATCACTTTGCTGTGTACCTAAAACTAACACAATATTGTAATTCAACTATACTTCAATTAAAAAATAACAATTATTATTTCAATAGATTGAAACAACAAATATATAAAAGTATACTTTAAAAAACACAACAAATAGGGCTTCCCTGGTGGTGCAGTGGTTGAGAATCTGCCTGCTAATGCAGGGGACACGGGTTCGAGCCCTGGTCTGGGAGGATCCCACATGCCGCGGAGCAACTAGGCCCGTGAGCCACAACTACTGAGCCTGCGCGTCTGGAGCCTGTGCTCCGCAACAAGACAGGCCATGATAGTGAGAGGCCCGTGCACCGCGATGAAGAGTGGCCTCCGCTTGCCACAACTAGAGAAAGCCCTCGCACAGAAACAAAGACCCAAAACAGCCAAAAATAAATAAATAAACAAATGTGGGGTTTAAAAAAAAGAAAAAAGAATATTATAAAAAAAACCACACAACAAATATATAAAAATACATTGATTTGTAATGATAATTTTATAAAGCC